AGTATTCATATTTTTCGCGACAACGCAAACTGAGACGGAACCCAAGAAGTGTTCGCCGTTGCCCCCGTCTTGTAAGAAGCCATTTTCTCGAAACCTTATGAAAATAAACGACAGGAAGAGGATCTAACGTGTACTTACTCGCTAGCAGAAGGTAGTGGCGAGTGTACCTGACGGGACCACAAGTCCATGTCTGGACATAACACGGAAGACCCACATGCAAGGAACTACTAGTCAAGGTAGAAGAATGTGCTAGAGATAGCCTCAGGAAGAATGTGCTGGAGATAGCCTCAAGAAGAACGTGCTGGAGATAGCCTCAAGAAGAATGTGCTGGAGATAGCCTGAAGAAGAATGTTCTGGGGACAGCCTCAAGAAGAATGTGCTGGAGACAGCCTAAAGTAGAATATACTGCAGGTAGCCCCAAGAAGAATGTGCTGGAGACAGCAGCCTCAATAAAAATATACTCCAGACAGCCTCGAGAAGAGTGTGCTGCAAGCAGCCTCCTCAGGGATATGCTGCAGATAGCCTCCAGAGGGATGTGCTGCAGACAGCCTCCAAAGGGATGTGCTGCAGACATCCTTCAGAAGATAGCTCCGTTGGGAACGAGCGTTACCCGACACCAACTGCCAGAAGTGTTGATGTACGACATTAGATTAGTGTGCTGGCCAGTTACAATATCAAAATTGGGTTACTTAACAACAGATACATATACCCTATCCCGTAACACCAAACTAGACACACACACACACACAGTACACACAGGCGGTACACACTTGCCCACACCAACAGAAACACAGCTCGCCAAAACTTCCCTCCGTACACAAACCAAATCCCAACAACCGCCATAAACATTCCGTACACAAACCTCATTCCTTGTAGCTCACAAGATGTTGAAAATGACATAAAATACCGATGTGCAACACCTGCTGCCTCTGATTTTAACTAAAGAAGCCTACTGTGTAGGCGAAACGTTTCAACAATGAAGATACCCAACTGTCTTACTCATCAACTCACAAGAAGTTTCGTCATTAGTGAGAAACATCACACTGCCTGTGTGCCGGGTCACCAAATGGACGAAACTCGGGCCGAGACAAATACCGGTAAACCACATCAAGTCGAGTCAACTTATCACTGCCTAAACGAGAGAAAACGAGATTCACATGAGGGTTCAAACTATCATACGGGATAATATTACTGGGTTAAACGTACAGGATGAAGAATTTCGTAAGAGTGTTAACCCTAGGGGAGGTTTAAACCAGGATAAACCATCAGTGCCAAACATTTTGGTTGATTTCCATCGTGGTTCTTAAGCGTTCTTCACCAGAATGCGACTTACGAAAGTCTGCTTACTCTGCTGCCTCCATGAAGCGTGTAAGGACACTTATTTCATATGTTTCTCTGCGCCCAGGATTCCAACCTGGTCCTTTCAGGTGTTAGCCGATATTTAGGCACTCTACCGAGCCTCATGTGTACAAATAGCCTAACACGGGCACTCAGAGTTAAAGACGAATATACAGATAGAACAAGGCTACAGGAACTACAAAATTAATGAGGAATATACAGATGGAAGAGGGCTCCATTAATTACACGAGAAAGTAAGCAGACTAGGGAAATATAAGCAAGAATGTTGCCGTTAGAGTTAAAACCCGAGAAATGGTATAAAAACTGGTACTGGGGATGGGAGAACGATTCGCACAGTGATGATTATTATTTTTAAATGTGCATACATATAGTGCTGGAGACTCGCTACTCCGTTCACAAAATCAGGGGGAAATCAACAGAAAATGCGAGAGAGTTTACATCAACCAACTGAAGATAAACGCACACACACACACACCACACACACACACACACACACACACAACAACGTACCTAAGTCAACGTAGTTAATCCATTTGAAAGGTTGCCAACCCTTACGAAACTCTGGAAGTGCCTAGTTAAGTTAGTGTTGGAGGGTCTGGGGCTAGTGGTTGAGGGTCTGGGACTAGTGGTTGAGGGTCTGAGGCTAGTGGTTGAGGGTCTGGGACTAGTGGTTTAGGGTTTGAGGCTAGTGGTTGAGGGTCTGGGACTAGTGGTTGAGGGTTTAAGGCTAGTGGTTGAGGGTCTGGGACTAGTGGTTGAGGGTTTAAGGCTAGTGGTTGAGGGTCTGGGACTAGTGGTTGAGGGTCTGAGGCTAGTGGTTGGGGGTCTGAGGCTAGTGGTTGAGGGTTTGAGGCTAGTGGTTGAGGGTCTGGGACTAGTGGTTGAGGGTTTAAGGCTAGTGGTTGAGGGTCTGGGACTAGTGGTTGAAGGTCTGCAGCTGGGGTTGGATGCCTGGTGCTGGTGTTGGAATATCTGAAGATAGTGTTAGAGGGTCTGAAACTGGTGTTGGAGGGTCTGGGGCTCTGTTGGATGGTCTAAAGCTGATGTTATTTCGTTCTCCATTGTTGTACAATTCTGCTTTAAGCACTAGGTGATCCCAGCCTGCCCGCCCTTGGTGTCAGTCTTGACGCAACGAGTGCAAATAAAAGGGAGCCCAGGTGCATGATATCCTGGCCACAGGACAGAGCTCTGAATCATCATGCAACATCATCCTGCTGACTGCGCCTGCTTGTAGTGGAAAGTTCATAGATAATGTATTGAAGTTGGTCTTAGATTTGGGAGATGCGCATTTTCTGAAGCAGTTATTTGATTGATGTGCACCTTAGGTGATATGCTCGGTGCAATACTTACCCCCAAGGTCCTCCTTAAGTGAGGTTTGCAGTCTTTGTCTCCCCAGCCTGTACTCCGTCTGTGGTCTTCTTTACCCTTCACGTCTCAGGCAATGTTAATCATCCTACATGGATGACAAAGACGCAGGAAACATCATTTCGTTACCTAAACGATGTCCCTGTCCCAGCCCATGCCTGATCAACCAGACTGTCACTGCTGGTCTCCAGCAGTACACGTACCTACGTCATACACAAATAACCCGCACATAG